CATACAAATATTTTGTAAGTGACTTTATTGTTCAGGTTAAAAAATGTAGTTATATTGCAACAAGGTTTATGTGGGGACCTACTTTCATGATTATTTCTTGGAGTTCTACTTTCTTTTCCAAGTAAGAGTAACATTAGATATACAATACTTCTCTATACACGATTTACGCATGCGCACATGAACTCATTGGACAGACTCATATACGTACATCATAGACCTAACTATGGGCTAGTGCATGCTCACGCTATCAAAACCAACAAAAAAAAAAAAAAAAAGAGCATGTATCATATCATGGGTATGTGTCCATACAAAACATGTTAGAAGAGTATTTGTGCTCGTGACATACAACATGCATGAAGTCTCGCATTTTAAAACATAGTACATGGTTATGATGCATATCATACTTTCATATTACCAACATAACCTTCCTATAAGACATGCACTAGACTAGGCTTTGAAAGTCAGATAGTAACTAAACAAACAACGACCAAAACCAAATAAATTAAGAAGTAAAATAAAAGATGAAAAAATGGTAGAATTTATATTGTACTAAAACAAACCAACACCACACTTAAATACAAAGTTAAGTAGTACTATTTAAATTTATTACTAAGTAGAAAATGGGTTTAGGATACAATTATAAAACCAAATACAAAATACTCAAATAAAAAGGTAAATTTACGCTTCGAAATTATCTCCTCTGTGACCGCACAACTCTCAAATGTTCCTTCATCTTAACCAATAGTCTGCGAACACCTAAAAAAGAAATAGAAAGAGTTAGAGTATAAAAATACTTGGTAAGCCATCTACTTATTCTCATCCTATCCAATTCCTATTAGGTTTTCACAAGTTTTCTTTAGGGTCAAGGAAATTCAGGCCTATTTTTACATCTATCCGAGCTTTTATGTAGGTCTCGAAGTTCTAGGGACAACCATTGTCAGTCGCAACTACTTGTGTACATTTAAATGAAGTCCAATGATAGGACGACACTATTCAAATTTATTACAAGGGAGAAATGACTTTGAGATACAATTATAAAACGAAATACAAAATACTCAAATACAAAGGCAAATTGACGCTCTAAAATAACCCATCTATAACTGCAAAGCTCTCAAATGCTCATCCACCTTAACTGGTAACCTGCGAACACCTAAAAAAGAAAGGAAAACGGGTGAGTATAACAATACTTAATAAAGAACCTACTTGTAAGCTCTCATCGCATTCAATTCCTATTAGGTTTCCACGAATTTTTCTTTAGGGTAAGGAAGTTCGTGCCTATTCTTACAGCTATTTGAGCTTCTAGGTAGGTCTCAAAGTTTCAGGAACAACCATCATTAGTCGCAACTACTTGTGTATTGTTAAATGAAATTGAGTTACTAGACAGTACCTATCAAATTTAAGTAGAAAATGGGTTTGGGATACAATTATAAAATGAAATACACAAATACAAAAGCAGATTGATGCTTTGAAACGACCCTCTCTGTGACCACACAACTCTCGAACGTTCATCCACCTTAACATGTAGCCTGCGAACACTTGACAAAGAAAATGAGAGGGGTGAGTATAAAAATACTTAGACCTACTTGTAAGCTCTCATCCCATTAAGATGGATTGTTATGTCTGAAAGCATGAAAACATTATGATATGATTGACATGTGACATGAATGATATGCTATGATTGACATGTAAAACGACAAACTAGCATGAAATACAACTTCAGCATACGCATAAGAATTATGATAAATAATATGAGAAATGTTATGAGAAATGATATGAAAAATTATATGATATGAACGAGACGCTTGTAGGGTTGTATTAATGATAATTAAAATGGAAAAATGTTGGGACCTCATGCATTATTTTGTGCTAAAGCATTGAGGGATACCCCTATTCCTTCATGATAATACATACGCATATACTACAAGGCAGGAGAATGATCGTTATGTTTATCATAATGTTGTCATGATAGTCGCTATACCTAACGGGTGTCTGACATCAATAGCTACTAAAGAATGTTCGCCCACCCAGAAAGGGGCCTAGGAGGTGTGCAAACCGACAGGTGGGTCCATTCTCCCACACGTGGACTGTGTGTAGAGAAATTAAGTACACATCCAAGTTCCGTTAGGATAGGAAAATAGATTGTTATGATAGGTCCCAACATGAAACTGTATGTGTATGCATTTAACTCCGATTGGGGGTCGTCTTTTTTAAAATACTCAAGTCATGTGCTACTCTACTTTTAAGGTAAAAGCAAGGTTCGCCTATACTGCTTAAAATGACATCACAATTCGAGACCACGACACATAAATTAGTTGTACTTATTTTCTTAGACTTAAGTTAATCTTAGACTTAGGTTAGATCAGGGTGCTTTTAATTTTAATGCTTATTTATTTCATTTAGTATTTCGTTGTGTCGCTTTAAAGATGTTTTCGAACATGTAAGTCCATAAAAATGTTGAAGTTTATAATTTATGTTAAAGCTTAAACACTTATTTCTGCATTAGTCTTAATCATTGCCACGTTGATGATCTATCTTAATGTCATATTCTTTCAAATTTAATTCAATCAAGTGCCCTAATTACCACCACATCATTCTAGAGCGTTAGTTCTCCATCTAAATATCATATTCTTTTTAGATTTAATTTAAGCAAGCGTTCTCATCACCACTATATCGATCTAGACAACTGTCACGTCAATTATTCATCTTAATGTCACATTTTTTTAGGTTTAATTCAAACAAGTGTCATGATCATCATTGTAACGATCTAGATATCTGTCTCATAAATTATCCGTCCAACATTATACTAAAATTCTACTTCAAATGTAGTTTTAAAACATTTATGAAAGATGAAGAAAACTATTTCGAGTGATATTTTTATAACAAACATCCAATCAAATATTAGATCAGTATGAATGGCTGGAAATGTTGAGGAATTCGGTTTAAAATGACATTAAAAAACTAAGAAGCTCCCGTGATATTCAAAAGGTTTTTTCTTCAAAGTAGAACTAATCATTGATTAGGCTACGCAAAAGCTTTGGTAGGGACTGAAAACATGTGAAGCTGCAACCACATGGGACCCTTTCCTATTTCTCTCTCGATTTTTGAGCTTTAACCCTAAATTTTGAAGGTTCTGATTGGAAGCTTCTACCAGAAGGGCATTGAGTTTATACTTTGTTCAAATTGTGGATCTTGGAACTCCGATTCTAGGAGAGATCTCAATTCATCATGCAATAGTGAGTATAGAGTAAAATTTTCTGTTTTGGACTCAAAAGACTAGAAAATAGTAAAGGGGAGGAGTAGGGTATTTGTTGGTGGGTTACCTTGTTTAGTTCTTCGGCGTAAGACGTTTACGGGTCGTTTGGTGTAACAGTTTCTCGTTTGCTATAGTTTAGAAGTACAAGTGTTTCGTGTATGTCGTTTTCTTTCTCTTTTTTTTTAGAATGTAACACCTAAGTAAAAAAAAAAAAAAGTACATTAATAAACTGAAACTACATTTGAATAAGAGTGATCTTGATGATAGAACTAGAAGTATGAGATCTCACATCAGTTAGAGAGGGGAACGAAACATTCCTTATAAGGATGTGGATACCTCTTCCTAACAGACATATTTTAAAACCGTGAGGCTGACAATAATACGTAGCTGACCAAAACAGAAAATATCAGCTAGCAGTAGACTTGGGCTGTTACAAATGATATTAGAGTCAGACACCGGGCGGTGTGTCAGTAAGGACGCTGGGGTCCGAAGGAGGATGAATTGTGAGATCCTATATTGGTTGGAGAGCAGAACGAAACATTCTTACAAGAATGTGGAAACCTCTCTGTAACAGATTGTTTGAAACTGTGAGGCTGACGACGATATATAACGGGTCAAAGCGGGTATTAGTAAGGTTAAGAGAAAAGATAGATTAATGAAAAAGAAATAAAGAAAAATGAAAGCAAGAGAAATAGTAGAGATAAATCTTAGAAATAAATAAGTTATAATTAGTTATCAAAACTCACTTTATAAAAAATTAAAAATACAAATAAAAGAGTCATTTCATGTTTTATTTGAAACATAGATAAAATTATTTTTTTAATCTTTTTTTTATTATAAAATGCCTATTTAATATTAAAAAATAATTAAATATAACATAATACTAAAAAATAAGTCTTAGATTTTTTCCACTTAAAAATGTGAGACCACAAAAAATTTTAAAAAAAGTACATCCTAAATATATTTATATATTTCTTTCTTTTAAAAAAATTCAAACAAAATCAATTATATAACAAAGCTTTCCTTTCCTTTCCTTTCACACTAAGAGAAAGCAAGAAACTAAAAGATTAGAAAAAATAAACAAAAAAGAAAAAAAAAAGATTCTAAATTGAGTGGCTGATAAAACTTTTAGAATTAAATGATTTGGAAAATTATGTAAACTTCAAAGTAAAATATGGTTTAAATTAGACAAATAGTTCTTATTTTTAGCAAATGTCCAAATTGTTTTTTAGGTAACTATGATTGATCTACCACCTCAAAAGTTCAATAGCAAACACACATGGGTGCATGGCTTTTGTTTTAAGAATCTTTTAAGTTCACTATTTACCCTTTGGGTTAAATTGAGTTGATGATATCTTTTAGATCAACCTGAAATTTTAAATTAGTTGGATTGGAGACCCGATCAATTCGAATAGAGTTCACAACCAAACTCCACTCAAATATTCTTATTCTCATTGTAGCATTGAGTTGAGTTATAACCCTATTTTCAAATTAGTTGGATAAACATGACAAAAAAAAAAATGTTAACCTACGGATCAACCTGAATTTTTCGATTTTCTAAAAATTCAATCAAATTCAAATCCAAAAAAATCTAACCCAATCTAACTTTTATAATTTCAGTTAGATAATCTAAATTGAGTAAGATTTTGAGTCATATGAACACGTACTTAAAATCTTTGTCTCATTTACAAAATAGCCTAATACCCACTTCTTAAACACTATAAAAACCCTCCCATCTCCTCCTCCATCCTCACCTCAAAAAGCCTTCTAGTAGACCAAAGGGATATAATATCTCTAGGGTTTTCAAACATGGCTTCATCCAAAACCACCACCTCCATTGCTTTGTTCTTCTCTCTCAACCTTCTCTTCTTTTCCCTAGCCAATGCTTGTGGCTCATGTTCCCACCCTATAAGAAGGCCAAGGCCCCCTCATTCAGGCGGCAGTCCCGGCTCCGGTGGAAGCCCCGGTTCCGGTGGCAGCCCGGGATCAGGAGGAAGTCCGGGTTCCGGTGGCAGCCCGGGCTCTGGTGGAAGCCCTGGTTCAGGTGGCAGCCCTGGCTCTGGTGGCAGTCCTGGAACAGGTAGTCCAGGTACTGGTGGAGGTACTTGTCCTAGGGATGCACTCAAGATCGGTGTATGTGCTAGAGTGCTAACCCTGGTAAATGCAACCATTGGCACTCCACCAGTAACACCATGCTGCACATTAATTCAAGGGCTAGCGGATCTTGAGGCAGCTGTTTGTCTTTGCACTGCAATCAGAGCAAGTATTTTAGGCATCAATATAAACCTTCCAATTAATCTTAGTCTACTACTTAACGTTTGCAGCAGAAATACTCCTCGTGGATTCCAGTGTCCCTAATTTACTCTTTACAACCTCGGGGAAAATAAGGATGCCATTTTACTCTGCTCATTATGCATGTCGTTGATTTGGTTGTTTGCAGCTATAAATGTCTAATTTGTGTGCTTGCATGTTTTTCGTTTGTATTGACACTGTTTGTCCCTTTGTGGTTTTAGTCTTCTTGACTAAAATTATCAAATATGTTATGCTCTTGAAAATATTTACAGGTTTAATGTCCATGGAAGATCAAATAATGAGATTGCTTGTAGTTTACCCGTTGCGTGGAGAAATTTTTTAGCTCTATTCGAAATTTCGGATTGCTTGATTGGAGACCAAATCAATCTGAATAGAATTTACAATCCAATTCAACTCTCTAAGGTTGGTTTGTTAGGATATTTTTTTTTAATTATCTTAAAAAAAAAATCCTACTTATCTACAAATATATTACATTAAGTAAAGCTCAAATACCAAACCTTCTCAACTCACATTGCATCATTATCGATAACAAATGTTAAATATTCTTAATATTCAAAATATTTTTAAGAATAGGGAAGGTAGGTTGGGTTTGGTTATAACTCTATTTTTGTGTCTCGACCAAGAAAAACAACCCACAATCCGACCCAAATTTTTTATTTTTTAAAAATTCAACGCATCCCAAACAAAAATCTAACCCAACCTAACTTTTATAGTTCGGGTTAGATAATCTGGATTGGTCGGATTATTAACGGGTTATATGAACACCCCTACTACAAGCTATAATCTTTTCTAAAGAATGGAAAGTTTAAATCTTCACACTATCCATCTCTCGACATTAATTTTACTCGTGCATGTTCGTATCTTCTTCCTTTTGATCCGTTCTTACGGAAACAAACCATCTAGAGAATAACTCAAAACTGAACTATTCAAATGATCTAGCTCAAGAACAATTGCTAATTTCATTCTCAAACAACACCTTAGATGTTGATAACAAGTCCTACAATCATCCAAAGCCACAAAATAGATAGAAAAAAGTTGGTGGAGGAATCAACAACAAAAAAATAAAGAGATTATTGTTGATGGGTTGGAGGTTTTAATTAGACACCTTTGTGGTTTCTCTTTATTTGAATCAATGGGGCCATGGGAATTGGTATGAGAATGGACAATGCTTTAGAACTGTTCATCCCGTGAGTCTGAGCTGTTTGGTGATTCAGAAATAATGCTGTAATTATTAGCATATGGAAGTAAAATGAATGGGAGTTGCTTGAAATTCGCATCCTCTTGTCTTATCCTTCGAAGATTGTCGTATATCACAATTGAACCATTTGAAGAAGGTTTGGTATTGCAATGTGATGAAGATATGGCCAAATATTTGACAAGCCATAAAGTCAAAAGACAAAACTAGCTAGTACGGATCATTTTCACCTAACAAAGCAACTCTCTCCTAGATCATCGTCAATAATTGTTTAGCTACAAAAGGTTTTAAAATTTTACTCGATTATCTGTCATGTTTGGAACCAAATGTTTGAGAATATCTCTAAGTAGTCAAATGTTTGAGAATATCTCTAAGTAGTTGAATTGTTATTCTAAGTAACTTCTAGAGAGTGTTTTTAATATTGAATGATCAAATAATTGTTTAGCTACGAAAGGTTTTAAAATTTTACTCGATGACATTTGTCATGATTAGGGCCAAATGTTTGAAAATATCTCTAAATAGTTGAATTGTCATTCTAAGCAACTTTTAGAGAGTCTTTTTAATATTGAATGATCATATCATAACGTAGAATTGTAAAATGAAAATTTTAAATTTTTACCTCTTAGTTTGTAACGTTATATCGATTTTCACCAATTTTCTATTATACGTATTAGACTAAGAATTCCTAACAATTTTTTGAATAATTTAAAGTTGAAATGGTAACACTTACCAAAATTTTGGTGCAACTTTATGTATTGAGAATTTCTTTACTAATAAGATTATAAGCATGTCCTACGAAAAAAAGACTATCGATTCAACGATTCAAGATCAACGAGTGGAATTCTCATAAGAAGTAAGAGTTCTTCCCTTAGCTAAAATGAAGGGTTGAACGACACATTCGAAAACTATAGCGCACCAAAGAAAGTACAAATAAGTAGTTTGACTCAAAAGCGCAAGAAAGAGAGGAACTAAAGTTACTTAATAAAAAACAAAAGGCAATATATGAAGGGGAAGAAACAACGGGCAGACCTATTTTACATTTTCACGGAACTGCCTACATGACTTATAACTTTGGTTTTGCTTGAAAATCCTCGACATCCTCTTTATACAGTCTATGTAGACTTTGGACCCGAGTAAATTTTAGGGTTTCTGAAAACATTTTTTTTTAAGTATTTAAAAGTGGAACAAAAAAATTGAAGGGAAAATCGGTGGAACAAACTCTAGATAAAAATAGAGGCACAAACTAAGATGCTTTTTGGAGGTTGAGCGCCCAAGAAGCTGAAAGAAGGAAGCTACAAAGTTGAGAGTCTTTAATACACCCTAAACCTACAAAGGAAGGAAGGATTTCTTGCATCCTTTCAAAATGTGAAAGTTGTTGGTGTTAGTATAATTTGATCAATTTGAACTATCTAACGTGACAACATCTTTTTTTATTTGAGTTGTTTAGAAAATTTATATTCTTTGTAAATTGATAATTTTTTTTATGGATGGATTCCATCCAAGAATAGAGTTACAATCCAAACAAATTCTAAGTATAATTTTTTTAAATAATTAAAAAAATAAAATCTTTACCGCCCAATTTAAGGTGTGAACTTTATATGAGTTACTCGAGTCACCAACTCAAATTCATTAACTAGTAAGTTAACTTCAATTTACCAAAACCGAACTAATTTTTACAAACTCAAAAGGAAGATAAACAACTCAAGTAACCCAATATCAAAACCGAAGTAAGTTTATTACCGAACCCAATAAAAGAATGAACCATCTCGTACGGTAAGTTCTCAACTAAACCAACTACTAAAAGTTAAACATGACTATTTATGTTCTCTTTTCTCGTATCTTCTCCTTTGCATTACCAATATTGTCATAATCATATTTATCTATGAAAAATATAGGGAATATATTGGTGAGTTATTGCATAATGTATACTAAGTAGCTCACACTTAAAAAGAGTCACCAAATAGCAAACAATATCATTTACAATTAGTATATTTTTGACAGACAAGTTAGATATATAACACATACAAGATGCTCAGTTTACGAATTATACTTATATATGTATCATACGCATGTCACATCTATGCAACCACTGACAAGTTCACTCAGACTCCAATGAATTAATCATATATCAACCCTTGATAATTTTATCTAGGGATTCAATGCGCTCTACGTTGCTCAATATTCGACTCTTAACCTACTCAAGTCTTCGATTTGTGCATTGTCCCTTGATCGTTTTTACCCAAGGCACGTATTGGCCTTCTTTAGGCGCCCAATATTTGTCTTTTAATTTCGATACTCCTCTTTAAATCCAAAAGTGACATAGTGATCGGAGTACGATTTGAAAGCCTCTAGTGTTGCACTCTCTCAACAAATAATAAATTAAAGGATATTCCAAATATCGAATCTCAAACTAAACAAAGTTATCAAAAAACCAATTTTGAACCAATAAAAAATAGTATACAAAAGTATGTGGACATGTGATGAATTTCTTAGACTTCTAAAAGAATTTAGAAAATGATTGAATAGGTGTTGTAGTTGACTCACTGTAACGGCTCAAGCCCCTCGCTAGCAGATACTGTCTTCTTTGGACTTTTCTTTTCGGGGGTTTTCCTCAAGGTTTTTAAAACGCATTTGCTAGGGAGAGATTTCCACACCCTTATAAAGAATGTTTCGTTCTCCTCTCCAACCAATGTGGGATCACACAATCCACCCTTTTTCAGGGCCCAACATTTCGCTGTCACTCGTTCTTTTCTCCAATCGATATGGGACCTCACCAAATCCACCCTCCTTGAGGGCCTAATCAATTGAATGAGCGAGCAAAGACATGAGGATTCATTCTGGAATACCAAAGACATTTTGGGTTAATGCTATGAATACAACAACTTATTTGATCAATAGAGGATCGTCAATATCCTTGGAGTTCAAATTGTCAAAAAAAAAAGTATGGATTGGAAAAGAACTCAAGTGCTCTCACTTGAGAATTTTTTGCTGCATTACGTATGTTCAATGTTGTTCCAGAAAAAAGAGACAAGCTTGACACTGAGGCTGTGAAGTGCTACTTCATAGGCGATGATTCATATTCCGGGATTGATTTTGAAATGACAATAATAGAATAATCCTGAGACATTGTGACATGACTTGATGAAAATTTCTTGTACAAGGACAAAAAGAAAAAAGGTTCCAGGACAACGAAACAAGTGGGAGTTGAGGTTGAGTTGCGAAAAAATTCACCTAGTGATGTTATAGCAAGTACTTAAGAAACTTCTGAAACTGTTGTTGGGGAATTAGAGGTGGATTAAGTGACACTTGAACAAGTGTTGAGAAGGTCATCAAACTATCTGAGTACCATATAGGTATGTACCTTCATTAGACTATATATTGTGTTGACTGATGAAGGGGAACCAGAGTCCTTGAAGATGCGCTACAGTTGGAGGATACAACCAAGTGGGAGCAAACCATGGATGATGGGATGAGTTGGATGTCTAGACTTCTGAATTTTGTTGCTCTTTCATCTATTGAGGCTGAGTACGTGGTAATAGCTGAAGTTGGAAAGAAGATGATATGGATGACTGACTATCTAGAAGAATTAGGCAAGAAGCAGCGCGAGAAGATTCTTTATACAGATAGTCAGAGTGTCATACAACTTTTGAACCTCGGGGCTCGACGAAAGGGAAGTATCAGCATAGTGTACAAGAAATCTAGGAGACATGTGACAAAATTTGTTGATGTTGGAAAATTGAGTTTATCCAAAACCTTAATTGGTATGATGGAGTGAAGACGGTGATAGTCGTTGACTGCTTATTTATAGCTTAGTTAACAATTATACATATTAAAACTATATATAGTAAATGACATATAAAATATATTGTCATCAATAGTAGCTTTATACTAAAAAACTATGTCCAGTAAAGCTATATATGGTAGATAGTTGTATATGATAGATTATTAAACTTAATAAAACTATATATAATAAACTGAACCATATACATACTCTTTAGTGGTTTGAAGATGTATACTGTGTTATCTATTGGTGTACTTACATGAAGTCATCCATACAAATCTTTCTATTAATATTCCTCCTTACATTTTCTCTCTCCTATTTTTCTA